ACAGCCCCTGCCCCTCCTGGCCCGAGATACAGGGAGATACAGGGGACCCGGTGCTGCAAGGGGACAGTCCCGGGCCAGCCGGGCGGTGGTCGCCCAGTGTGCATTTGGGCCAAGGCATTTCTGGGAGGCCTGGTGCTGGTGCCATCGGATCCCCCATGTCCCCTGGAGGCTGTCGCCGTGGCCAGGCTCTCCCCCTGGTCAAGGTGGCACCCTCCCCAGGCTGCCTGCCCTGCCCACTCACCCAAGCGGGCTTTGAGGAGGGATGAAGGAACCCATCCATTAGATGTCAAGAGTTAGGGTTGTAAACGGCCTTTATTATAAACATCCGTGTCTGCTCAAGCTTTGCAAAGCTGGGCCTTGGAGATGAAAGCTGGATGGCCCGGGGGGGGGACAGCGGCCTGGGCACCGCAAGGGTGGCCGCCCGTGGCCCATGGGTCGTGGCAGGGAGAGGGCAGCTGGTGTGCTGGAGCCCTTTCTGGGGAACACAGGGAATCAAGGCCTCCAGGAAAAGACGGGCAGCCCTCGGGGGTCCTGGAGTCCGCAGGGCTGGCTCCTCAGGGTGCTGTGGCCAGCTCCTGGTCACTCCGGGGCTTCCACCTGGGCCCTGGGGCCCTCTGGGAGAGGTGCATCTGAGTTGGAGTGAGGGAGGGTGTGCTGAGCCCCCAGGGCCCCCATCTGTCCCCTATGAATGCACAGGCCAGGTCCACCCCGGGCCTGCAGTTCTCTGCTTTTAGGGCTGGTTCTGGGCAGTGGAACCCGGAGGGGCCCCGGTACAGCTGTGGGGTGGCCCTCAGGGCTGGAGGCAGGTGGGGGCGAGAAGCCCCAGTCCAAGGCCTGGCTCTGCAAACAGGTCGGAGCCCACCCGGGGCTGGGAGCACGGGGCCGCCCCACCCCACAGAGCCCTCCATGGTGCTGGGGATGGCAGGTTGGAATGTGTTTACCTTTGGCCCAGCCTGATTTCCTGCTTTTTAGAAAAGGGGCTTAGAGAGGACTGGTAGACAGGCTCCTGGCGCCCCCACCACCCAAAGGCACTTTCAAAACGCCCCTGCGCTGGGTTAAGTGTCACGAAGCAAACAGGGGCTTGAATTTCACTCCCAGAGCCCGGCCGTGGGGGCAGGGCAGGGGGCCTGCGGCAGGCACGCACGGGGAGGTCTGGGGAGGCTGGGGGGAGACTAGGGGGAGGCTGGAGGAGGCTGGGGGAGGCATTTGGAGTACTGGAAGGGATCAGGGACAGTCCCCAGGGCTCCCACCACGCTCTGCACCCCCACTAGGCTCCCCGCACAGAAACGCCAGGGTGTCATACCCGGACCCCCCCGCAGGCTTGCTTCTGAAGAGGGGAGGCTGAGCTGGCCAGGCCACCCTGTTTCCAGAAAACAGGACTAATGTCTGTGTGTCCATGTGTGTCCCTGTGTCTGCGTGTACTCACACCTGCATGTTCACATGTGTATCCGTGTGTGTCCCTATGTGCCTGTGTATCCCTGTGTCCACGTGTGGTCCTTGTGTGTTCACATGTGTGTCTATGTGTCCACATGTCTCTGTGTAGCCCTGTGTGTCCACATGTATGTCCGTGTGGGTCCCTGTGTGTCCACATGTATGTCCGTGTGGGTCCCTGTGTGTCCACATATGTGTCTGTGTATATTCATGTGTGTCCCTGTGTTTCGCTGTGTGCTCACATGCGTGTCCGCATGTGTGTTCATGTGTGTGCACGTCTCTCAGCAAGGCCCCTGTGGCCTTGTGTCCAGCCCTAAACGTGTCCCTGCCCTGGGCGCTGTGTGCACAGCTGTGTGGCTGTGGTGGTGCGCAGGGGTCTCTGTACGCGTCTCTATCCATGCTGCCCTGTCTCGCCCAAGGCACGGCTATGGGTCCTGTCCTGCTGGGAGCGCTGCGGGGCCTGCTGACTTTCGTGTGGCCCAGCCCCTCGTGGGACCAGTGTCCCCTGGAGGGTGGACATCTGAACCTGGCTGTGTGTGCCTTGTGCTTTTGTGTGGGTTCGTGTCCCGGCCTGGATTTAATGACCCAGGAGCCCACTCTCAGGCAGGGATTACGGGCAGCTGGGGGGCGGGGTGGAGTCGAGACACTTGCTGTACCACTAAATGGGGACAGAAAAAATCCCAACAACACAAAGAAAATGAAATCCCTCGACAGGCCTAACGGGAGGTTTGGGGTCTGACTACAGCACACCCTGGGAAGTCTCACACAAAGCCGAAGGGCCTGGCCCCACCAGGCGCCTGGGGAGACGACAGCTTCCCTCCCCAGGAGCTGGGGGTGGCAGCTGAGCCTCGAGCGGAGGGGGCAGAGGGCCCAGGCTGGGGGCCCCATGAGCCGATGGTTCAAGACCCAAACTGGGCTCAGGTCAACCTCCCCACCGTCTCTCGCCTCCCCTTGTTTGCAGGGTCCGCAAGTATGTTTTACCTGACAAGCCCCAGAGTGCCAAGTGCCCAGCAGAGATTGCGTGACCCCCAAAAGTGGGAACAAAAGGTGCTAGAAGGAGCATGGCCAGCTTCGGCCTCACCTAAGGCCACGCTGACCACACTAGGCCTTGGCCCAGGCCACCCCCCATCTCCCCTTCCTGCCTTTCTCCCTCCCTCCCTTCCCCAGACCTCTCCCCAGCCTGCACCTGGTGACAGGGTTGGCCCTCTTCCAGGGGTGAGGGGAGCCAGGGGGGCCCCTTCCTGGAAGCCCACCTGCAGGCTGGCCTGCTGGGAAGGGGCCTGCTCGGGGTGGCCCACACCCGGCCGGCGCCGTTTCCTGGACGTGGTCACTGTGCATATTCTGTTCCTTGTCAGCACCAAGCTCGCAGAAAACAGACACTGAGCCCCTTGTCCTCCGGGGGCCCGCGCTCCATCACCGAACACCTGGCCGGACACAGGCGGGGAGCTGGGTCCACGGGGAGCGGCGAGGGCCTGGG